ATTCGTCAGGACGCAGGGAATCGATAAATAGCAATTTTATGATTTTGTGACAAACTGTTCACAAGTTACAGCTTCTGATCCAACTCTGGGTCAACCTTGTTCATTTTGCGACACCATAACTTTTGAAGATAAATTAATTAAAAAAATCGGGGACAGTACTTTTATGCGGCTCTGTCCAAAGATCATTTGAGTACATGTTTGGAAAAAATTGGACAAAATTTGAAGGAGGAGTAGCAAAAAAACTGTTTCACGTTTGCTCCAATATAGCGGCCAGTCACATTGTTCAAAAGTAACATATGAGATATCGTTGAAATCGGCATAACCCAAGGAATATTTTGACATATAGAAATCAAATTTCAAGCAATGTTAGCAAAAGTTATAAGCGTTTTTTCAAAAAACAATGATATCTCTGGAACACTAGGTGGCGCTGTGACCAAACTTCTCAGGTATTTCCGGGCCATGCTAATGGTGATCCATACCAATTTTGGTGAAGAAATTTCAAATAGTTTAAAAGATATTGCAAATTATGACAAAATTCAAAATGGCAGACACGTGATACATCCCATCATGGCAAAATCGATATCCACAGATTCGGCATGATCCAGAGAATCCATAGATACCACAATTATGATTTTCTGAGAAACTGTTCAAAAGTTATTGGCCAAAAAAGCAATTTTGCATATCTCACGACCCGTAGGTGGCGCTGTTTCCAACTTTGGCATGTCACCTCAGAACATGGTTCTGATAAAGTTTACCAATTTTCGTTTCGATTGATCAAACTTTGGCCGAGATACAGCCTCTTAGCCAATTTTGGGTGGACCTCGTTAAGTTTGCGACACCATAACTTTTGAACAAAGATGAATAAAAACAATCGGGACAGTACTTTTATGCGGCTCAGTCCGAAGATCATTTGAGTGCATGTTTGGAGAAAATTGGACAAAATTTGAAGGAGGAGTAGCGAAAAAACTGAGAACTGTACATTTCAAAATGGCCACTACTGTAATGGGCGGGGTCTTAATGTACGGTATTGGTTGAGATCAGCATGATGAGAGGAATCAGGTGTACTAAGTTGCATGTCTCTAGAGCAAAGGGTTCACAAGTTATAACCATTTCAATGTTAAATTTTTGAACTGCTGGTGGCGCTATAGAGTTGGTCCTAGAGGGTCAAAAATTGGTCCAATTACTATTCATTAGCATCACTACAAGTGTGCCAAATTTCATCATTTTCCTACTTACGGTTCATAGGGCTGCCATAGACTTCCATTGGCGGAAGAAGAATAATAATAATAATAATAATAATAATAATAAGAAAACTAACAGATACAATAGGTGCCTCAGCCCCTTCGGGGCTTGGCCCCTAATAAGAAAACTAACAGATACAATAGGTGCCTCAGCCCCTTCGGGGCTTGGCCCCTAAATATAGCTGCAAGCAGCAACACGGGGCCAAGCCCAGCAAGGCGCAGCAAGCAGACCAAGCACAGAGCCAGCACATCAAGTACAGCAGTGCAGCAGGCATTTATGCACCAAGAGCAGTGCAGAGCCGCAAGAACAAAAACAGCACAAATTGAATACACATGTAAATGAAGCACAGTGAGCATTTAAGCACAAACAGCAGTGCAGAGCAGGAAGGAATTGAAATGAAAACTTATTACACAATTTTAAAGTCGCCCCACGTGGGACTCGAACCCACAACCAGAGTGGTTCAGTATTTGAGATACATGGTTTAACATATTGCGCCACTCAGAGGTTGTGAATTTCAAAGCAGCAGGGGAGAGGGTTCAGTGTGAGAATGATTCACAAAAAAGTTCCATGACATGTTATCCAGATTAGCATGCTAAGCTAGCTCAGTTCTAATGTATCTTATGACTTGGTGCATCCAATCGTGGCAAAATGCATATCCTCTGATTCGACAGGACGCAGGGAATCAATAGATACCAATTTTATGATTTTGTGACAAACTGTTCACAAGTTACAGCTTCTGATCCATCTCTGGGTCAACCTTGTTCATTTTGCGACATCATAACTTTTTTTTCCCCCATATTGCAAAAAAAACGGGAACAGTACTTTTATGCGGCTCGGTCCGAAGATCATTTGTGTGCATGTTTGGAGAAAATTGGACAAAATTTGAAGGAGGAGTAGCGAAAAAACTGTTTCCCATTCGCTCCAATATGGTGGCCAGTCACATTGTTCAAAAGTAACATATGAGATATCGTTGAAATCGGCATAACCCAAGGAATATTTTGACATATAGAAATCAAATTTCAAGCAATATTAGCAAAAGTTATAAGCGTTTTTTCAAAAAACAATGATATCTCTGGAACAATAGGTGGCGCTGTTCCCAACTTTGGCATGGAACCTCAGAACACGCTTCCGATGAAGCATAGTAATTTTCGTTTCGATTGATCAAACTTTGGCCGAGATACAGCCTCTTAAACAATTTTGGGTGGACCTTGTTAAGTTTGCAAAAGCATAACTTTTGAAGAATGAAAAATAAAAAAAATCTGTTCAGTCATTTCTGTGCGGCTCAGTCTGATGATCATTTGAGCGCATGTTTGGACAAAATTGGACAAAATTTGAAGGAGGAGTAGCGAAAAAACTGAATACTGTACATTTCAAAATGGCCACTACTGTAATGGGCGGGGTCTTAATGTACGGTATTGGTTGTGATCAGCATGATGAGAGGAATCAGGTGTACTAAGTTTCATGTCTCTAGAGCAAAGGGTTCAAAAGTTATAACCATTTCAATGTTGAATTTTTGAACTGGTGGTGGCGCTATAGAGTTGGTCCTAGAGGGTCAAAAATTGGTCCAATTACTATTCATTAGCATCACTACAAGTGTGCCAAATTTCATCATTTTCCTATGTACGGTTCATAGGGCTGCCATAGACTTCCATTGGCGGAAGAAGGAGCAAATTGTTATTTTGACAATAACAATTGCTAATATAGCTGCAAGCAGCAATGCAGGGGCCAAGCCCGGAAGCAGCAGCAACTCCGACATTTGGAAAAAAAAACTGTTGGGTCAGTAGTACAAGTGAAAATAACCTCAAAATTAAGATTTTTGTAATATATAAATTTGCTGCATGTTATATTTTTGGAAGTCCTTTCTCAGACAGACACCATGTCTAGAACTGAAACAACTTTTCCACCACTTAAGGCCACAGTACCTCTTGCGGTCTGGGCATGTGCCACACAGGATTCGAACCCACGACCGCAATGGTTCGGGATTCGTGACACGTGGTTTAGCAGCTTGCGCCACACAGAAGACGCAAATAACTGAGCTGCAGAGGAGATCCTTCAGTATAAGAATAAGCACACAAAATCATGTTAACGCAATTAGCATGCTAAGCTAGCTCAATGCTAACGTAGCTAATGGTCATCCTGATAGCTGAAGAGCCGCATTCAAAAGAATTGCACTTGGTTAGCATGCTAAACAATTATTATGCTAAGCTAACTAGCATAAGTCAACAAACACAGGCTAGGTCAACTTTGGAGGCAAATATCTCTCAAACGATAGCGAATATCAAAAATCTGTTCAGTCATTTCTGTGCGGCTCGGTCCAAAGATTATCTGACAAAATTTTAAACAAATTCGAGCAAGATTTGCAGGAGGAGTAGCGAAAAAATGGTTTTTCATTTGCTCCAATATGGCGGACAGTCACATTGTTGGAAAATGAAAAATGAGACATCGGTGGAATCGTTATAAGCCAAGGAACATATTGACATAAAGAAATTACATTTTGAACAATATTTGCAAAAGTTATAAGCGTCTTTACAAAAAACCTTATAACTTGGGAACACTAGGTGGCGCTGTGATAAAACTTCTCATGTACCTTCAGGGCATGCTAATGATGATCCATGCCAAATTTGGTGAAGAAATGTCAAAGAGTTTTAAAGATATTACAAATTATGACAAAATTCAAAATGGCGGACACAAGGTATAGTCCATCATGGCAAAATCGATATCCACGGATTCGGCATGATCCAAGGAATCCATAGATACCACATTTATGATTTTCTGAAAAACTGTTCAAAAGTTATTGGCCAAAATAGCACTTTTGCATATCTCATGACCCGTAGGTGGCGCTATTCCCAACTTTGGTATGGAACCTCAGAACATGCTTCCGATGAAGCGTACCAATTTTCGTTTCGATTGATTCAATTTTGGCCGAGATACAGCCTCTTAGCCAATTTTGGGTGGACCTCGTTAAGTTTGCGACACCATAACTTTTGAACAAAGATGAATAAAAAAAATCTGTTCAGTCATTTCTGTGCGGCTCAGTCCGAAGATCATTTGAGCAAATTTTGGACAGAATTGAACAAAATTTGAAGGAGGAGTAGGGAAAAAACTGAATACTGTACATTTCAAAATGGCCTCTACTGTAATGGGCGGGGTCTTAATGTAAGGTATTGGTTGTGATCAGCATGATGAGAGGAATCAGGTGTACTAAGTTTCATGTCTCTAGAGCAAAGGGTTCAAAAGTTATAACCATTTCAATGTTGAATTTTTGAACTGGTGGTGGCGCTATAGAGTTGGTCCTAGAGGGTCAAAAATTGGACCAATTACTAATAATTACCATCACTACAAGTGTGCCAAATTTCAACATTTTCCTACTTACGGTTCATAGGGCTGCCATAGACTTCCATTTACGGAATAATAATAATAATAATAATAAGAAAACTAACAGATACAATAGGGGCTATCCCCTTCGGGGCTTGGCCCCTAATAAGAAAACTAACAGATACAATAGGGGCTATCCCCTTCGGGGCTTGGCCCCTAATAATAAGAAAACTAACAGATACAATAGGGGCTATCCCCTTCGGGGCTTGGCCCCTAAATATAGCTGCAAGCAGCAATGCAGGGGCCAAGCCCGGAAGCAGCAGCAACTCCGACATTTGGAAAAAAAAACTGTTGGGTCAGTAGTACAAGTGAAAATAACCTCAAAATTAGAAATTTTTGTAATATATAAATTTGCTGCATGTTATATTTTTGGAAGTCCTTTCTCAGACAGACACCATGTCTAGAACTGAAACAACTTTTCCACCACTTAAGGCCACAGTACCTCTTGCGGTCTGGGCATGTGCCACACAGGATTCGAACCCACGACCGCAATGGTTCGGGATTCGTGACACGTGGTTTAGCAGCTTGCGCCACACAGAAGACGCAAATAACTGAGCTGCAGAGGAGATCCTTCAGTATAAGAATAAGCACACAAAATCATGTTAACGCAATTAGCATGCTAAGCTAGCTCAATGCTAACGTAGCTAATGGTTATCCTGATAGCTGAAGAGCCGCATTCAAAAGAATTGCACTGGTTAGCATGCTAAACAATTATTATGCTAAGCTAACTAGCATAAGTCAACAAACACAGGCTAGGTCAACTTTGGAGGCAAATATCTCTCAAACGATAGCGAATATCAAAAATCTGTTCAGTCATTTCTGTGCGGCTCGGTCCAAAGATTATCTGACAAAATTTTAAACAAATTCGAGCAAGATTTGCAGGAGGAGTAGCGAAAAAATGGTTTTTCATTTGCTCCAATATGGCGGACAGTCACATTGTTGGAAAATGAAAAATGAGACATCGGTGGAATCGTTATAAGCCAAGGAACATATTGACATAAAGAAATTACATTTTGAACAATATTTGCAAAAGTTATAAGCGTCTTTACAAAAAACCTTATAACTTGGGAACACTAGGTGGCGCTGTGATAAAACTTCTCATGTACCTTCAGGGCATGCTAATGATGATCCATGCCAAATTTGGTGAAGAAATGTCAAAGAGTTTTAAAGATATTACAAATTATGACAAAATTCAAAATGGCGGACACGAGGTATAGTCCATCATGGCAAAATCGATATCCACGGATTCGGCATGATCCAAGGAATCCATAGATACCACATTTATGATTTTCTGAAAAACTGTTCAAAAGTTATTGGCCAAAATAGCACTTTTGCATATCTCATGACCCGTAGGTGGCGCTATTCCAACTTTGGTATGGAACCTCAGAACATGCTTCCGATGAAGCGTACCAATTTTCGTTTCGATTGATTCAATTTTGGCCGAGATACAGCCTCTTAGCCAATTTTGGGTGGACCTCGTTAAGTTTGCGACACCATAACTTTTGAACAAAGATGAATAAAAAAAATTCTGTTCAGTCATTTCTGTGCGGCTCAGTCCGAAGATCATTTGAGCAAATTTTGGACAGAATTGAACAAAATTTGAAGGAGGAGTAGGGAAAAAACTGAATACTGTACATTTCAAAATGGCCTCTACTGTAATGGGCGGGGTCTTAATGTAAGGTATTGGTTGTGATCAGCATGATGAGAGGAATCAGGTGTACTAAGTTTCATGTCTCTAGAGCAAAGGGTTCAAAAGTTATAACCATTTTCAATGTTGAATTTTTGAACTGGTGGTGGCGCTATAGAGTTGGTCCTAGAGGGTCAAAAATTGGACCAATTACTAATAATTACCATCACTACAAGTGTGCAAATTTCAACATTTTCCTACTTACGGTTCATAGGGCTGCCATAGACTTCCATTTACGGAATAATAATAATAATAATAAGAAAACTAACAGATACAATAGGGGCTATCCCTTCGGGGCTTGGCCCCTAATAAGAAACTAACAGATACAATAGGGGCTATCCCTTCGGGGCTTGGCCCCTAATAATAAGAAAACTAACAGATCAATAGGGGCTATCCCCTTCGGGGCTTGGCCCCTAAATATAGCTGCAAGCAGCAATGCAGGGGCCAAGCCCGAAAGCAGCAGCAACTCCGACATTTGAAAAAAACTGTTGGGTCAGTAGTACAAGTGAAATATAACTCAAAATTAAGATTTTTTGTAATATATAAATTTGCTGCATGTTATATTTTTGGAAGTCCTTTCTCAGACAGACACCATGTCTAGAACTGAAACAACTTTTCCACCACTTAAGGCCAAGTACCTCTTGCGGTCTGGGCATGTGCCACACAGGATTCGAACCCACGACCGCAATGGTTCGGGATTCGTGGACACGTGGTTTAGCAGCTTGCGCCACACAGAAGACGCAAATAACTGAGCTGCAGAGGAGATCCTTCAGTATAAGAATAAGCACACAAAATCATGTAACGCAATTAGCATGCTAAGCTAGCTCAATGCTAACGTAGCTAATGGTCATCCTGATAGCTGAAGAGCCGCATTCAAAAGAATTGCACTTGGTTAGCATGCTAAAAATTATTATGCTAAGCTAACTAGCATAAGTCAACAAACACAGGCCTAGGTCAACTTTGGAGGCAAATATCTCTCAAACGATAGCGAATTCAAAAATCTGTTCAGTCATTTCTGTGCGGCTCGGTCCAAAGATTATCTGACAAAATTTTAAACAAATTCGAGCAAGATTTTGCAGGAGGAGTAGCGAAAAAATGGTTTTTCATTGCTCCAATATGGCGGACAGTCACATTGTTGGAAAAATGAAAAATGAGACATCGTGGAATCGTTAATAAGCCAAGGAACATATTGACATAAAGAAATTACATTTGAACAATATTTGCAAAAGTTATAAGCGTCTTACAAAAACCTTATAACTTGGAACACTAGGTGGCGCTGTGATAAAACTTCTCATGTACCTTCAGGGCATGCTAATGATGATCCATGCCAAATTTGGTGAAGAAATGTCAAAGAGTTTAAAAGATATTACAAATTATGAACAAATTCAAAAATGGCGGACACGAGGTATAGTCCCATCATGGCAAATCGATATCCACGGATTCGGCATGATCCAAGGAATCCATAGATACCACATTTATGATTTTCTGAAAAACTGTTCAAAAGTTATTGGCCAAAATAGCATCTTTTGCAATATCTCATGACCCGTAGGTGGCGCTATTCCCAACTTTGGTATGGAACCTCAGAACATGCTCCGATGAAGCGTACCAATTTTCGTTTCGATTGATTCAATTTTGGCCGAGATACAGCCTCTTAGCAATTTTGGGTGGACCTCGTTAAGTTTGCGAACATAACTTTTTGAACAAAGATGAATAAAAAAATCTGTTCAGTCATTTCTGTGCGGCTCAGTCCGAAGATCATTTGAGCAAATTTGGACAGAATTGAACAAAATTTGAAGGAGGAGTAGGGAAAAACTGAAATACTGTACATTTTCAAAATGGCCTCTACTGTAATGGGCGGGGTCTTAATGTAAGGTATTGGTTGTGATCAGCATGATGAGAGGAATCAGGTGTACTAAGTTTCATGTCTCTAGAGCAAAGGGTTCAAAAGTTATAACCATTTCAATGTTGAATTTTTGAACTGGTGGTGGCGCTATAGAGTTGGTCCTAGAGGGTCAAAAATTGGAC